AGTTAACTTTGAAGTGTAGTAGTATCATATTTGATTCATTTACTTTGAAATGGTATTTTTCCTCAGTTTTTATGTGCTCTTAATCACGTTGAACGTTCAGAACTACATACCATTTGCAGAAAACTGGGTGATGTTACTTTTACGGTCATTTTATACAGTGCTTAACAAGAATATATGAAGTTTGATGGAGAAACAAAGAGGATTGCATGTACCTGTTATATTTTCGTAAAATTTCTATGTACAGATCGCAGTTTAGTTTGGAAAACGTAGTATAATCAACAGAAAAGTGCTACGTAGTTAGTTTCATGGTCTGGTAAGATGTAGTCTAAGATTTTTGACATATACAAACACGAAAGCTACAAGTTTCCATGTTTAGCTCATCTGATCTATTTCTATTGTGGTACTTTCTGATATATGCCTCTTGAATGATTTGAGAATGAGTCTCTAGTTGACCGCTGCTGCGATAGGCTTGATCGCTTGTTGATAGCTTGCAAATGTTATGCCTGAAATCTCCGGAGCTCTTCAATACGAGCAGGTATGGTCGAATCAAATCTAACGCTCCGCGGATCCTCTGCATACACCACGTAGTAAGACGAAACGCATGCTTGTGGCCATGCCATAGCAACCCTACACTGAATCACATACATCAAAGACAAAGTTAAAGCACATTAGTGTTTTGATATTGCTAAGTTTACTGAGGAAGGATAAGTACCATGAAGTATCCGATGAAGAATGCGTATATTGAAACTTCTGTTGCATAGCTCCTGTGAATTATAAGAGCCCAAGTCCCACTCACTAGGCTGCAGATTGCACCTGCTGCCACCCCAGAAAGAAAACAGAACGATCCGGTGAGATCCGAGTCGATTAATTCTTTCAGTCCTTCGTCCCCGAACATCTCCCAAGTATCCGACGATGCCTGCACAAACCCCTTATTGTACGCTCCTACGTGCACAAAACCCCAGCGATTCCCATACATCACCAGCGTCGAAGCCATTCCTGAATAGCAGTTGGCACACGAAAACAGAAACTCGTCTGTATCCCCTGCAGTCAGTTTCACAGCTCGGGCTGAGCCACGAACAACCCCAAGAACCGGGACCAAGATGGAGCCGATGCAGATACTCCCAGTCAAGTGCTTAATGGTATCGCGGAAAGCCTCACGTGTGTCGATCTCTGTTCCAAATGCCAAGTTCATAAACTTGATTCGCGAGACGGTAACTAGCAGCGTGTTCTTGATTACTTGCATCGTCCATGCCATGCTTAGCAAGATTAGTGCGATGAACAGGGCCTTCCAACTACTCCTGGTAGCAGTGGCTCTTCCAATGCCGGACACCAAGAGACACGAGTAAAGAATGCTGACGGAAATTGATTGAATGACTAATATTGTAGTCTTCGGAGGAGGAAAGGCAGTGGCAACTGATAAAACTCGAATTGCGTAGTCAAAACGGGGACTGACCCAACAGGCGTACAGAGACTGAATTACGGCACAAACGATTGCAACCACACCTGCAGCCAAACTCGCAGGAGAACTTATGTCTATAAGTAGTACGCCGACCGCGCATGTTAGCAAAGGGCTAAGCCAGAAGGCTGCCTTGAAGGCTTTGGAAGGGCTTGAGCTAGTCATCCACTGCCATATGAAAGCAAAAATTGCAGAGAACCCAATTGCAGTGAGCAATGGAGGGTAATACTCGAGGGGTCGGAAATGGTGAGTGCGAGTGTTGAAGATGAGGCCATAGAGCGTAAGGAAGATTACGAAGATGGTGATGAGGATCAAGTGCAAGTAAAAAAGAAGTTTAAAGAGCCTCCTGAGAAATTGTCCGGCTGTGGTTGTTTCGGGTGGAAAGTTGCTAGGTTCTTGCGTCTGCATCCACAGAAATTAGAAAATGAATCCGATGTATCGATTAACAAGAAGATCAAAGAAGACCGAGAAAATTGATATTGGAAAGAAAGATGCAGCAAGAAAGAAGAAATAAATTGGTGACAGAGATGAGAGCCAGAGAAAGAAACAAGAAACGGATTAGAAAGAGAACCTTCATTAGGTTTATGGATGAAGGTCTGAGTTCTGCTTCTTGAACTTGTATGTGGATGTTCTTGGTAGTCTCTAAACTTGCCATAACTCGATTCACATATCTTAATGGCTTTGAAATTCCGAAATCAACTGTCCTTTCTCTTACAGAAGTTCTAGGAAGGTTTCTACCACTTTCTTTGCCTCCAAGTTTCAACAAAATCAGATGCACTGAAAATTCCCACACTTCGAATTAAACTAATCCTAGGTTGTGTTCATAGAAATTGTCCGGCCGTGGTGGTTTCAGTTGGATTGTTGCTAAGTTCTTGCGTCTGCATCCACAGAAGCCAAACCGGATATATCAAGATCAACGACGACAGACGAAAATGATTTCGGAAAGAGGTAAACTACAAGGAATCTGTTATTCTAATCATCTGAAAGGAGTAACAAGAATGCGTGTGTGTGTATGTGAGAGAGAGAGAGAGAGAGATAGAGAGAGAGAGCGTGTTGATGTTTATACAAGTATATATGTAAGTCAATGGCTCCCAATTCTGCTGTTGCTTTATCTTGTTAGATATCTGTGATTTCCTTCGCTTCCTTTGGCTCCAAGATTCAACAAATCGATTTAAAAATACGACAGACCGATCGAGTCTGTCTTAATACTTCGTCAAATTTTCTTCAGTTAAGATTAACTTGTTAGTCACGCAACTCTTGCTCTTTCCCTCTCTCTTTGCAAGTTTGGGTTGGCTAGCTCCACGTGGGCGTTTAGGTTTTGCTAATTAGCAGGTCCGCAAAGGTGACGTGATCCGCAAGAGGTAAACCAACTTCTGGCCCTGTGTTTTACCTCATGAGGCAGTTGGGCTACTTTTTTTATTTTGATTTTGATTTTATTTTATTTTTTTTCCGAACGCACCCTTTATTAGTTTATGTTTCTTAATTTTATTCAATTCATTCAATATGACGATTAAATATTGAGAGCGGTGTGAGAGATAAAAAGAGTGTATGAACAGCGGCAGTATCCCTCATAAAATGTGCAGCAGTAAGGAAAAGAAGTTTTTTAATCTGTTCAAAAGAAAGAGATAATTGTATCTCTCCTTCCGTGAGAGACCTTCTCTCCTATGTGAGAGTTTTCTTCCTCCTTTGGTGAGGGTCTTCAGCTTATCCACCTTCTCAGGCACCCACTCCAGCTTCGGCTGGAGTCGGTTGCCTCTTTTCCTTTTCTTTTTCTGTTTTCTTCTCATTTCCCCTTCTCTGCTATGTTCTTCTCTTTTCCTTTTCTTCTTCTATTCTCTTCTCCTGATGCTTTTCATCCTCCTTCCTCTTCATTCTTCCCTTCTCTTGAGTTTGGCTTTCTCCTTGTTTTTCAACCCGTTTATTTTGGTAATCCTTCCCCTACAACCTCCGATCTTACCTTTCTTGAGTCTCGATCCGACAGTCCCACTTCCAACCTTCCCTTTTCTTCTTCTTCCTCAAGTTTTTCCATCTCCAAGACTCTAATCTAGCCATTTTCTACCTTTTCCATTTGCTTCTGTCCTACATCGTTCTCACACATGTCCAATTCTGCAACCATCTCTTCCACCCGCGTTTTGTGGTTTTCTAGGAAGGTGTGCAGAGCTTCGGCTCATATGGTGTACCCACCACCACCTTCCAATTGTATGTCGTTTTTGGCTTTGTTGTTGGGGCAAAGTTCTTTCCCTCTGGCTTCTTTCTTTGATGGTTGCAGTTTCGATTTGTGTGGTGTTTGGTGGAGGAAGATGGCGCCTTCTTCTTTGGGGCTATGTTTGGTTAGATCTCTAGCCTGGGATTCTGGATTGTGGTCGGTGGCCGATTCTTTGACGGCGGCGGAGGGAGCTAGTCTTGTAGGGTTTTCTGTTTTGGGCCTTTCTTCTGGTTGGGCTTTTGTTTAGTTTTGGGGGTTCACTTTTTGTTTTGTGTTTTCAATATATTTGGGCCTCTTTATCTGTAATTGTGCTCTCTTGGTAACGAAGATTACCTTTGTCCAAAATTAAAAAAAGAAAAGAAAAGAAAGAGATGATTGTTTGGTTCAACCGCTGACTTAACTTTAACTACTTTTAGGGCAAACATAATTATAGGGTTGCCCTTCAACAATATTTGGGGGGATGTTCAATATCCAGGTTCCAACTACTTACCAGGAAATGCTAAGGTGAAGTTGAACTGCTACTCTATACATTTTGTTGGTACATGGTTTGGGCCTCACAACATGGCTTGGGCCTCGTATTTTTGGGCTTCGTTTTGGGCCTAACAGAAATATGTCAACAAAAAAATGAGGTTGAGTCCTTGTCCTTTTAAAGGGCTCCCTCACCCTTACTTTTTTTTTCTGGAACAACCTCACCCGTACTTTAGAGACTCCGCACTTTACTCTCTTAAAGGCTCTCATGAGAAAACCGACGGAAACAACTCAATGTGGATTACCTTCAGTTCTTACTTCAACATACCTGAAAATAGACTCAAAAAGTTGATGCAGAACAGACTACACAATGTTAGAGGAAATTACAAATATGCATCATGAGCACTTGCACGGGCATGTATGATGAATTTGTAAATGACTCATTCCAACTAGTTATTTGCAAAGTTCTCCCACGTGTCTTTCTCGTATATAATAATTTGTAGTTCATTTCTCATTAACTTGGCCTCAATCACATGAAATTTGGAAATCTCCCTCCAAAACGTAACGTAAATATTATGAGTTACACAGTCAAATCAAAACCTATCCAAGGCATCAAACAAGCCTAAATAGTACTAAACTGAAATTGACCATTCTTTTAGTGTTTTAAACAATTTACATAGCACAGATACATTGTTAGTGTGATATTCTTTATAATTGTACAATGTTATGTAAAATAACCTACACATATAATTATATTATTCACAAAAAACAATATGATAACCAATGTACGCATATCATAAAAGTCATCATTTTATCAAGTTCCAAGTCATTGCTAAAAAGCTAAGCCAATTAACCAACGCATCACCAGAACACTCATTAAAGCCTTAAAAGATCTCTCCTCACCCAACAAGAATAGACTGAGTGATACATCATACATCGCCTTCTCTTCAAAGCAAGGAACCCAAACTTTTATCTAATCCACCCCACAACCCCCAACACACACTTCCCAATCTCTCCTTTATTTTATTCTCCAACCTCATTAGCTTTGCAATTAGCACTCTCTCCCCTTAACCATTTTAACTACCCCCTCTCTTTCTCTAAACATTCATCCATGCCCAAAATCTTCAGCAATGGCCATCAAAGTTTGTGTGATATCTTTCCTCCTAACCTCAGTTCTCTTCTCTCTCCTATACATCCCAACTAGGTTAAAAATCCACATCCACAACTTCAAGCCGGTCATAAACTACTTCAACTTAACCACCATATCCAACACCAGCAACACCAAGCCATATCCAGTGACATTTGCTTACCTAATCTCTGCATCCAAGGGCGATTCCATGAAGCTAAAACGCATGCTGTACGCCCTATACCATCCTGGAAATTACTATCTAATCCACATGGATTACGGTGCACCAGAAGATGAGCACAGGGACATTGCTGACTTCGTGGCTGGAGATCCAGTTTTTGGGCAAGTTGGTAATGTTTGGATTTTGGGAAAACCTAATTTGGTCACTTATAGAGGACCAACAATGCTTGCTACTACTCTTCATGCGTTGTCTTTGCTCTTGAGGACTTGGGATTGGGATTGGTTTATCAATCTTAGTGCTTCTGATTATCCTTTAATCACTCAAGATGGTATGGTGAGTGCTTTTTATTTTTTGTTTTTTGTTTTTGCTGCAATTAAATTATTTTTTTGTGTTGGGGTTTTTCTTACTTAATTTCTTGCATCCTTACATTTTTACTTAATTAATTATTGTTAAAATTTGTTTAATTTCAGATATGATCCATGCGTTTTCTGATTTGCCAAGAGATCTCAATTTTATACAGCACACCAGTCGCTTGGGTTGGAAGCTGTGAGTCTTTCCTTCTTTTGTTTAATTTAGTAATTTCTTCTCCTACAATTTTTGTTTAGCACTAAACTAATTAAGTTTGACTAAAACAATGTACTCGTTCGTTCTCCGCTGTTGTTAAGATTAAAATAGAATGATCACTCTGATTAAAAGAACAATTAGTACTTCCGTACTTGTACATTGTTAAAACTAATTAGTGATCTTGCAGGAATAAGAGAGGCAAGCCAATGATAATAGACCCAGGACTGTACAGCCTCAATAAATCAGAGTTGTGGTGGGTAATTAAACAAAGGGCTCTCCCAACTGCATTCAAGCTTTACACAGGTTCAACCCCATCTCCCAAATCTTTTCTTATTAAGAATTATTAATTTCGTTAATTAAGTTGATAATTATAAATTAGAGAAAAACCATTAGCAAATAGATATCTTTTTTCTTTTATTTGTGGGTAATGGTACTGCAGTATCACGTGAACTTCTGAACAACACGCATGTGGTTTATGCATTTTGTATATAGTTTATATAAAAGAAAACTAATAAAAAAAGCTTCAAAACTTTGAGTTTTAATGATAAGGATAAAATAAAAGGTAAAATGAATAGTAGCAAGTTTGACTTTTTAGTGTAAAAATATGGTTTTTTGTTAAAATAAACAGTACCGTGAATCTTAAAGCTGAATGAGCAAATTCTGCGTTCTTTGTAAATTTTTTTTTTTCAAATACTACACTAAATTAGAAACTATGGAGGAGGGTTTGAACCAGAGAATAATGGGTTGAAAAAGAATGTTTTAACCATTATGACAATCCACCGTTTACAAACTCGTCATACTAATTGAGGATTAATTTTCCTTGGCAAAGAAAAAAAGGCATTGTTTAAAGGTAGCCATTTATCAAATTTTAATGAACCAAGTATTAATTAGTACTAATTGATTATTAATTTTTCAATGTATTGTATATCTCCTTCTACCACTTATATCATATCTCTATCATCCAAATAGAATACTTTTATATATAAAAAGGGTTTTTTTAGTTAGAATGGTCTCTGAGATTTAAAATCGATGGAAGTGATTCTTGAGATTATTCACCATCAATTATTTTGGTTATTTTGTGAAACACTTCCGTTAAATTGAGGGTATTCTTGTCAAAGTAACTCCTCCACTTGAATTGACGGTTTCTTCAATTTAACGAATATTTTTCACAGAATGATCAAAATGATTGACAATATTTGAAACCATTTTTATGAATTTTAAGTCTTAAAATCAAAATTAAGAGTTATACAAATTTCAATAATTATTTAGGCTGAAAAGTCAATAGGTCAACATTAAGCTAATTTATCTAAAGGTCAATACAAAACTAGGGCACAGAACATTCCAGTTGGAAACCCATGATGAGTCCATAACAAGACGAAAGATATGATTAAATTTATGGATTATAAGTAAGTTGTGGTCTTTTCGTTTGGCGCGTACTTCAAATGTCTTTTTCACCCTTTTCTTTATTTCCACTTTTTGTGGTAGGTTTGTGTGACAGTTCATATCTATCATGGGAGGATATTGTATGCATCACGTTTCTGAAGAACATGCTTTGGCATTTTTGCTCTCTCCACCGAACAATTGTCGGCTGGACCAAACTACTGTTCAACACTCCACACATCTTAATCGCAACACAAAAAATTAGATTTTTAAAAAGATATCGACAACATGGCCATAAAATATTTGGCGATATCGCAAGAAGATATTGCAGACATTAAAAACAAACCATTTCAGTGATTGAGATTGAGATTTGAAAAATGATCGTTTAACTAATCTTCCTAATTTTAAACCCAACATTTTCTTGATTAACCTGGTTAAGAAATTAACTTTCTTGTTTTGGGGCGTAAATCTGGTTGAACTCTTTTTGCTGCATGTGGTAGTATGGTGTAGATAGAGTAATAAGCACTGGTTAACCAAAAAGAGTACTAAGCATTGAAGAGACAGCAGAGCTATGTCAGACAACAGACACCTGCAATCTGCATGCACCACACATCTAAATGATAAGCCCTTTATTTTACTGGGAATGCACGTGTTCTCTTGCTTCTATAGATTCTTTGAAGGAGTAATTTCCGATATTTACCATTGTTTATTAATTAAACACATAAATAAATCAATGGCTTGCAAATATGGAAGTTTATATATTATATAAAGAAAACATTGAACGCACTCTCATTTTGTTAATTAAAATTGTAAAATATTGGTTTGGACTTTGGAGTGCCCCTAGGGTTATGTATTTGAGCTGCCTTTATTTATTTTTAATACCGGATTAAGCCTTATATAGTGGGTTAGCTAAATTCGTTTTCGGCAAAAATAGAACCTAAAAACTCTTATTACGAGTGAAGAGAAATAATACTACTAAGCTGTAGTACTAAATGATTAAATTTGAGGTTTCTTTTACTAATAGAATGACGTTTTTGTACTGCGCACGTTGCTGTGAAATGATCGGCAATGTGGTTACAATAGCAACACTCTTACTAAAATGACCATATACACTTATTTATATTGATAATTGCGTCTTGCTTTCAATCCAGGTTCAGCGTGGACAATTTTATCAAGATCTTTTTCCGAGTACTGCATAGTAGGGTGGGACAATCTGCCAAGAACTCTCCTCCTCTACTACACTAACTTTGTCTCATCACCTGAAGGCTACTTCCAAACGGTAATATGCAACTCCGAATACTACAAGAACACCACGGTCAATCACGACCTTCACTACATTACATGGGATACACCTCCAAAGCAGCACCCGAGGTCTCTTGGACTCAGAGATTTTAGAAGAATGATTCAAAGCAACCGTCCATTTGCTCGAAAGTTCAAGAAAAACGCCCCGGTTCTAAACAAAATCGATCGTGAACTTCTTAAACGACATCGCGGAGAATTTGCTTATGGGGGGTGGTGTTCTGGGAGTAATGGGAAGACGCAAAAAGTATGCTCGAGTTTGCAGAGTGAAAACTATGGCGTTTTAAGGCCAGGACCGGGGTCTAGGAGGTTGAAATCTTTGTTAACGAAACTCCTCTCCACAAGGAACTTCAAGAAACAACAATGCAGATGATTCTTTTAGCCAAAATGAATAAATTGTATGCTTGTAATTAGTGCTCTACATGATTTTTTGAAATTTGGGGTTTTTTTTTATATTATTTTATACAGAATTCTAAAAGGCGGTAGACGTATGGCGGGCAGAAGTTAGGCATCTGGGCGGGGCACTAAACAAGCAATTGAACACATTATATTGTCCTTCTATTATCTGTTCAGTGTGTTTTCTTGTCCAACAAAATTATTAGCGTCTTACAATTTAGTGGGCTTCAAATATTTGTTTGTCCAATTACATGGATCATATGCAATAGTGTTGGGATGACTCAAGACCAATAGTTTAAAGAAAAATTAACGAAAAGTCCAAAAAAACTTTTCTTTTAATAAAAAGTCATTTTTAAAGGTATAGTGAATAGTATTAGTGTAAGGTATAAATGTGATTTTTCGTTAAAAATGAACAATACAGGAAATGTTTTGTTAAAACTCTCATATTTTAAACGTTGCCCCATAATTTTCAATTAAGGGATTAGGGTTTGGTAAGAGGTTATCAACTTTGTTAGTTAAGATCATTCTCACTTTTGCATCGAGTTTTTTTTATAGCAATCAGTATTTGATTTAGGGTTTAGGGTTAGCATCCAACAATACATAATATCGTATTTATTCAAAAAAGTTATGAGAGTTTACTTGAAACTTTTTGGTTGAATCATTGAACTTTGCCTGTCCAAAATTAGTTTACATTTAAGGATAATGTTAGGCCAATCAAATTTGCAAACCAAATGACGTATCATCAGTAAGAAATAAACACGTTAATTAACACTTAAGAAAAAATGTTTCCTAAAAAGTTTAATCTCTTTAGCATTACTCTTAAATTAATGATTTTCAATGCTATAACCAGCTAGGGAGAAGAAAAAAAAAAGACATGGAAATTAGAGCATGATCACTGATTTTAGCCAACTTTAAAAGTGGATTAGACAGTTGCCTGCATTTCTTCATATTATGGAACCTATACCTAAATTTGAATTTAGATGAAATCGCACTTAAGAGTAAATTAATTGTATAGTCCACACCCGTAGACAACAACAACGGTCGTTTTACTTGCACCTTTTTCAGCGCATTATTTCAAGTTACAATTTGACTAATTAATAAAAGAAATCTTCATATAAAATACCCATGAGAAATAAAAAAAAAAACAAAAAATGTAATACAGCATCAGCTTGCAGCTAGCAACTTAACTAGTAACTACGTACTTCACCAAGAGAGTGCAACAAAAAATTCACCCCATACAGATGGATCACCCTACATTATCTGGTCAGAGAGCGACGGCAATCGCCGGAAAAAGTTTACTGGAACCGACGGCATGTCGTCGCGGAACCGTGGGTGGCGCAAGTAGTATAACCCTGACCCTAACACAAAGGCCTTGAAAGGAACCATGTAAAACACCAAAGAAGCTACCAAGCAAAACACCACAAATATTCCCGTTGCCCTTGGGTCCCTCCAATTAAACAGGGCTTCCAAACGCTCCCCCTGGGCTGCCACGTCACCCAAAAGTGTTTGGGCCCTACCTCCGAGGGCCCGCAGTCGATCATATCGGATACGAACTATATTCGCCGGTCTTGTGGACGGAAACCCGTCGAGCTCCTCATCCAGCTCATCTGGGCTCACCGCATCGACGTACGACATCCTTGGGTCCATATTATGTGGGCCCCGTTGACGATACCGCGACCGTACCAGTAGGATAAAAAAGGCGTACATGAATATGGTGGGTAACAACAAGTGCGGACAAACCACAACCGCCACAAGCAACAAGTGCACTAAAACAGTGGTGGGCGGGTGCAACCACGTGCGGATTCCGTCGAGCCAACGGGCCAATGTTGCCGCACGTGATAGGCAGCCCACCACTCGAAACCAATTGGCTTTGCTTCTCCTCATGCTCCACACGTGTGTGTCCGAGTCCAACATGAACTGAACCACCTCTTGTCCCAATGGCGGCTCGGACCTCGCGAGCCGAGCCGTAACAATCCGCATAGCCGTGTGCCTCAAAATATCTTGCTGCGCCGGACCTAGTGGGCGCACGTAGTGCATCCTAGGAAGCATTGGTGACGTGTAAGCTTGGATCAGACTAATCCACGATGAGCATGAGAATCTAACGGCTATCTCAATCTCTCCCATTTTCTTGGCCCCACCAGGAAGCAACACCGTAAGGGAATATGAACTCATGTACACACGATTAACATCCAAAGTCGATAGCCGCACACGGATCTTCCCGACCCGAATATCCTTCTCGGGTTTTCCCGCTTCATCGCGCTTGTACCTTCCGTTATCAAAAACTCCAATTGTGAGAACCGTACAAGGATCGTATACGTCCCAAGTGTACTGCTCGTTCCAGCGTGGATTAAACCGGTCGAGAATGGTTCGGGTCCGGACCCACTTCGGCCCGTATTTGGCAACCACGTAAGTATCGGTGGTCCCACGCACGCCATTTTTGGTCTTCACCGGTAGCAAGTTGGTGGCCCCACGAACACCAACTTCTAGCAACCCAATCGGCGGTTTCGCAAGCTGCTTCGCCGCCGCTCTAACATCGCTGGTTACGTGCGCCGCCTCGTCCAGCACGTGATACCCGCCTTCCAAACAAACTCGCAGGTGTATTCTTCCCGCGTAAGGACGCTCCTCGTCGCCGACCAAATTGAACCACATGGACTTTGGCTGGGCCCGATCATCGATCCTCCTCTCAACACTCGGCACGTGTACTTTGGCATGGCCCACAGACTGCCCATTAGTTACGTCTTCAACGGTCAAAAACAGAAACGGCTCAAACGGCTCGGCTGCCACAAACACCAAATCTTCGTTCCAAGTTGGGTTGGCGGAGCTCGAGGACGTGGACCCTACGGCGGTCCTACTGGTCTTGAAAAGCTGTGGTCCCAGCTGGGCTTTCACGTAAAGTTCGGGATTTCGAGCCTTGGGTTTAGCTTCGGATCCCGAAGCTAGCTGCAGATCCTGGGTCTGGATGACCGTTAGTCTCAAATACCAAAGCTTTGGAGACAGATACACCTTGGCTCGGGTCTCGGGAATCAGCCCGCCTGAATCGGACTGCCACGCCTCCTGAAACGCCTCGTCCGCCTGAGTCCCAATCCACACCGCCAGCATGACGTCATTTCCCGCCGACTTCTCGGACTCCAGAGTGTACCATTGAGGAGCCAGAGGACTGTCCGGGGGGACTCGCTTCGGCACCTCCTGCAGATCAAAAGACACGGTCCCGAGGCAGCTCTCTGTTTTAACCGGCGGTTCGTTTTCCTTCTTCTCCTCCGCCTCCGCCCATACGGAAACTTCCAGCGACGTCGAATTCAATCCTTCCTTGTCAAAAGCAAATACTTGATCCCAATCTTTGCCGTCAATCTGAGTCTTGGTCTTGATGCTGTGCGTTCCGATCGCCAGCTTTGCGTAAACGGATTCGGTGCTGGTAGGACCCGCATTTGCTCTCTTGGATTTCACGACCCGGACATATAGGAACGGCATACGATCGACGAGATCGTACGCGCTCCGGCTCCGATCCCGAACCAACGGCTGAAGCTCGAGCTCGCTGATTCCGCCGTTGATCACTTGCGCGTTCTTCTCTTTCTCCGTTTGCTTTGTTTTCTCCGCCACTGCGTACGCGATTGGCGGATTCTGAACCTCCGGCGGTGGAGCTGGTGGTGTGGCAGCAGCTGAAGCCTCCTCAGCCTTTTCCGGTGGATTCGGCTTCTCCTCCGGTTTTGCCTCCTCTTTAGGCTTTTCTTCTTGTTTATTGTCAGTCTCCTCTTTCGTTTCCTCTGTTTTCGCCGCAGCAGTCTCTGATTTTGGATTCTCGGGCGGTTTCTCCTCCGTCGCCGGCTGAGTATCAGGCGCTGCCTCCTGCTTTTTCTCCTCCTCTGCCGGTGGGGGCGCGGGAGGATCTTCGTCAATGTAATAAATCTTCAATCCGACCTCGCCCTTGATCTGAGAAAACACGCTCCGCTTCTCCAGCGGAAAGTAAACCAGCGCCGCCGCATCAGATTTCACAAAAGTATTTCCCGGAATCTTTACTTTTCCGAGAAAAGTGTTGCGCTTGGCGGCCTTCTTGTCGTTGTAGATGTTGATCTCGAGGATCTCGGTGGCCATGGATTCGCTGTCGTTGACAAGAAACTCTAGCTTCTCGTCCCACTCAGGGTTGAGATCTCGCTGCTTCGTCTTCGTCCGCCGCCGCTGCCCGTCGAAGTCGACGATCGCGTAGGCGCTCGCTGTCCCCTGTCCGTCTTTCGGCATTAGGTTCTTGGCGTTGCACACTTCCACGATCAGCTTGCGGGTCGCCATGTTTGTTTCCAGAGACAGAGAGGAAAAAAATTGATGAAGATTTTAGAGAGAGAAAATGGTGAATTTTAGAGAGAGAAAGAGAGAAAGATGAGTGAGAGCGTGTTACTGACCTACTCTTATAAAAAAGAAGAGGGACCGGAAAGTTGAAAGGGGTTTTAAAAAGAGGTTGGGAGAGCGGGGACACGTCAGCAGGGCTAGGTAAGACAAGGTTGGCCACGTGGCGGGATCTTGGGGGGCAAGAGATATTGGATGGATTGTGGGGGCAATAGTAGCGTGGGGTCCTGAGAGGGCTGACCACCGTGCCTGGCGCTGCTCTCTGCAGAGCAAGAAGGGATTTTTTGATCGGTTTTTATCAGAGGGATAATTTTCTGATTATTTACAAATTTTGCCATTTATTCTTAATTTAGGAGCCAGTACTTAACTATTTTGTTTTCAAATTTTTTTTTCTGCAAATTGAAATCTCGTTTGAAAAAAAAAACGAAATAGTTACTAAACGACAACTTAACTACCAAATTTTAATTCTTAAACATAAAAGTACATTAAACAAACTAATTAATATCGCGTCACATATATGAATGAATGTTACAAAAATACATAATGTTGTGATAGGAGACCAACATCTGCGATAGCAAGTTTTCTCTCACATTTGATTACTATTCCTTAGCTTTTAAGGAATCCATTCATCGTGATTGTAAGTGACGGATTTTTCTCACTTGATAGCACATGATCAAGAAGAAAGATTGAGAATAAGAACTATCTAATTTGATTCATTTCCAATAGCTATGAGATGATTATCTTCATTTTATCAACCGATACTTTTCTTACACTTGTAGTTTTTCAAGGCTGAGAATGAAGCCATGTAACTTCTCCATGGAGAATTTAAG